CTGCCCTCTAGTGCCTCAATATGATATAAGCACTGAGGCTGTTCCAGGACGGCTCTCCCTGTGCACCATACAAGCTGCCCAAGGCCTCTGCAGGTGTCCTGCCACACCTGGCTGACAGTAGCCAGGCCTGGGGGCACTTTGGGGGCACGTCTGCTGGAGTGGAAGAAGAGGGAGGTGTTACCACCCCTCCTGAGTGCTTGGAAGCACTGAGGTTTTAGGCCCAGCTTTTTTTTTTTTTTTTGACCTTTTGCAATTGTTCCCTGCAGAGAGAGGGAAGAATTCTTCTCTAAAGAACAAAAAGAGGAAGGGAAAGGAGGGTGGAAATGTCTTAAGTATTTGTAACAATACTTAACAGAATACAATTAGGCAAGAGTAAATGTTCCATGGACTTAGAGCCAAGCTTTGGAGGCTCAGGACTGCCTCTGGAAATTGTAGGTCACTGAGGAGCAAATTTGCGAGAGGGGGACAAACTACCCCTTTCTTAGAATTGGTAATCAGAAAGAAAAAAGTAGAAAGAAGTATAAATAAAGTGTGTTTAGGGCTGGGTCTGACCTGCTGTCCACCTCTCTCACGAGAGCAGAGTTAGTGGCCGTAGTGAACCATGATGACATGACTAAATTCCAGCCTGGGTGACAGCAAGACCCTGCCAGGAAGGAAGGAAGGAAGGAAGGGAGGGAGGGAGGGAGGGAGGGAGGGAGGAAGGGCATAATCAACTAATAAAATGTAAAATAAAATTTATTTCTGCTTTAGTTATAGACAAACTTCTGCTCTAGACAGAGCCCACTTAGTGTAAGGAATACTATTCTTAGCATTCGTAAAAAGAACATTCAATTTTGCCAACACAGCTGGTCTTTACACAGCTGAGTCTACAGCCTTGACAGGATATATTCCTTTCAAATTGAGTTAAACTAAGGCCCCCCAAGAAATATAGTTGCTCAATGTAGGGGATATACTTGTGAATGTAACTGTAGAAAAGACTGTTGTTAAAGAGACACTGATGTGAGAACCCAAGTCAACCCACACTGAGAAGAAGCAGGTGCTCATATCTAAAATGCCACTCAAGATTCTTGTCTCCTGGTCATTCATTCAAATACAAATCAGGTTACTGCTGAGAGCAAATTTTCTTATAGATCCAGTTAAGGGCCCAAAACAGTTGACCTTAAGATACAGAGATTATCCTTGTGGGCTTGATCTAATCTCATGAGCCCTTTACAGAGAAGGAAGTCGGAAAGAAAGGGTGAGGACGCAAGAGGCCTTAGCTTTGCTTTGTTTTGAAGACAGAGTAAACTACACTGGGGGGGGGGGGTGATTTACTGAGGGAGAGGCTGAGACAGAAGCGTCCAACAAATAGCTGGCAAGGTAACAGGGACCTCAGACCTCCAACTGCAAGAAACTGAGCTCTGCCAACAGCCTGAATGAGCTTGGGAAAACCTGCAAGGCCCAGGTTAGAACCACAGCCAGCTGACACTTTGAGTACGAGACTGATGACGGAACACAGCCAAGCCATGACAGATTTTTGTCCCAGAGAACCACGTAGGACACATGTGCGCTGTCTCAAGTCACTAAGCTTATGGTAATTTGTTACACAGCAACGTAAAATTAATATGCAGGCCTTCTCCCTGCTGACTGTTGTCTTTCCCCCCCCCCAGAATGTTTTTGGGTACTTAATAGTGTCATCATTCACAAAATGACCCTCACCAAATGAGCCCTCTCTTTGGCAGAATGTTAGGAAAATTCTTTTTTGACAGCATCTAAATGCAAGAATTCTACAGTCATCCTAATACAGATTCAAATCTCTGGCCAAACCCCAGGAAGCCTTTTCCTACAAAATGTAGGCAATCTCTTTTTGTAGAATTGGTATAAGTTAAGTTGAAGAAAGAATGTTTTAAAAAAATCAGGCCAAGTGCAGTGGCTCACACCTGTGAGTGGGCAGTATTCTGTGAGTCCAAGGCCAGAGAATCACTTGAGCTCAGGAGTTTGAGACCAGCCTCCTCTCTACTGAAAATAGAAAAATTATCTGGTTGCGGTAGTGGGCACCTGTAATCCCATCTACTCGGGAGGCTGAAGCAGGAGGATGGCCTGAATGCAGGTATTTCAATTTGCTATGAAGTAGGCTCATGCCACTGCACGCTCGTCTGGGGAAAAAAAAATCAAACTTGTAGAGTGCCTAATATACCATGCTAGAAGTTCTGTACATGTAACTTCTCCTTTCTTCACTACAAGATACTATTAGTTCACATGTTTTTTAGACTTAGAGCAAGACATTTAGGTGATTTCTTGATTAGCAGCACAGATGAAAATTATACACTTTTTTTTTTGGCTGCAAATCTCATGTAAGTTTCTTCTTCCACATGGTCAGAGGCAAGAGCTGGAGCTGCAGAAACTTTGCCTGTACTTTGGATTTCTGCGTCATCCTGGGTGATCTTGAGCCCTCCTGGGCACAGAATGCACCTGTATCCTGGCACTCGGCCAGCTGAGTTGAATCTCAATCACTTACTTCTCACTCTTTTTCTAGTGAGGATATCTAGGGAACTATTTTCCTACCTTTTTTTCTCCTTAATCTGCAATTCATATTTAATCACTTTGACCCCAGGACTGTGTTGAGGGAAATCTGGTTAATGCAGATTTCGAAAGCAGTGAAGGATCCAACCTGTTGATGGTATCCAGTATTTGGAGTTCCTTTGGTTTTGTTCCTACATGGTCTATTTTCACTTTTCATTTGTTTTATTTTCCTGTCCTGTCAGTATTTCTTAGAGGTCAAGGCACACATAAGAAGACTTAGACTCATAAAAGAGTAAAGGATTTTCTACGTGTTCCAGTACCTGGGGAGATTAGAACTGAAATTTAAAGCCAGTTCGAGTTCTCTCCCCCACCCCCAGTGGTAAGATAGGATTTTATAAGACAGAAAGGAAGACAGAAGGAGTTAAAAGTACCAGAGCTTCTGGCAAAGGGGAAGACCCAAGTTGGAAGTCTTCCTAGTTCTAGTTCTTCTTTTTTTTTGCAGTTTTTGTCCAGGGCTGGGTTTGATATACCTCCTGTATATGGGGCCGGTGTCCTACTCCTTTGAGCCACAGGCCCCGCCCCCCTAGTTCTAGTTCTTAATGATCAGCTTTGATGACCTGAAAACTGAAAGGCTAATCCTGTGATTTTTAAATAAGCTCTCTATAGCTCAATTGTTGACTACATTAAGGATTTTTGTGTTGAAATAGAAAGCTGTTTTTTTTTTTTTTTTTTTTTACTAGTGGTCTCCCCTTAATTTCTGTGATCATGTCCATGCTACTTGGTCCCAAGGCCCCACAACCCCTGAAACTTCCTTGCTCTTGGTCTTAGGTGGGAACTTGACCTTGGGTGCAACCAAGATATTAACTTCCGAAGTTCTTCATAACCATTTAGACTCCAGAACTGGCCAGGACTTGAGGTGTCTATAAGAGAAAGTGACAACTGGGAAATATCAGCCCAGGGCATCAGCACAATTGGATAGAAAAGAACGGGAAAATAACAGGAAAAAAAATGTTTTTAGATGCATGGAGTTCTAAAAGTTTAGGCACAAGTTTTCAAGGATATTACTAGAACTAGTTTATTTTCTAATTTCTTAACGGCTAAAAAATGACTATTTTTCCATTCAGGTTAAGCACTTTTAATATCCCCTGTTCTTAATACTGCTGGGTTCTGTAAAGTTTGATCCCTGCCCTCAAATTTTACTGACCATAAAGGGAGCAGAGAGGTCCACAAACAGAATCTGTTGATATCAGCTGATATCTCAGTTTGTCACACTGCACCATTTAAATTTTGAAAATTGACCTGCAATGTAAAATGTTAGGACATCTTTAAAGTATCATGCTACATGCAAAATAACATTGTGACTGGTGTGCCAAGCATATGGCCATGTATGTCCCCCTCTGCTCCAGGGATGGGTGTCAGAGTTGATGAAATACATAGAAGCTTAAAAGGTGTGATAGTACATGTATCATAAAAGGCTTCCCAAATAACTATGTATTAGCTAATTTATCTAATTTAAGCCTATGAAATATTTATATTTTTTGAGAAGAGTTTTCTCTAAATGTTTAATAACAGCTCTGAACCTGAGGCAAGGGCATATGCCAGAAGAGAATGATTTAAGAGAAGAGATTTTGGCTAAAATAGTGGATAAATATTGTCAGAGTAGGCAGTATATTATGATTGTGTTATTATAATGAATCTCATTTACATACCAATGCAATAATTTCTTGTGCATTTCACCAGAGTTCTGACAACTTTCAAGGAAGTGGCTGAAGGGTTTTTATTTATGAGGTGAAAGTATAATGACTCATGACACACCTCACAAAAGAAGTTCATTAGCAATTTCCTATGCTTACATGATCTTTCTCCAAAGCACCACTCCCAACACTTTTCATGGTAACTGTATTTCTGACGTACTCCTGGAAGCATTGCTAGGGAAAACTTTCATTTAAATTAATGACTAAAATGCTCCTGGCTTCCTACTGACATTTATTTCCAGGATGGTAGCCTTTATTCTTTTCAGCTGTCATTTATGATTACAGTATTCCCCTGTCTTTTAGGGAAAAGTCTGATGATATTAGATAGAGTGAATTCAATTTCTAATGCTGGAGTAGGAGGCATAGCTCATATGTGCTTTATAAGCTCATTTGTTGAAATCCTAAAGCCCAATTTGATGGTATTAGTAGGTGGGGCCAGGGCCAGACTTGGTGGCTTGCACCTGTAATCTTAGCACTCTGGGAAGCCGAGGCAGACAGATTGCTTGAGCTCAGGAGTTCAAGACCAGTCTGAGCAAGAGTGAGACCACACCTCTCTCACACTCTTGGGCTCACAGCCCAAGAGTTTGAGGTTGCTGTGAGCTATGAAGCTACAGCACACTACAAATGCTGAAAAGTGAGACTCTGTCAAAAAAACTAAAAAGTGTAGCATTTGGGAGGAGTTTAGATCATTTGGGCAGAGCCCTAAGGATTGGGATTAGTCCCCTTACATAAAAAGACCCCACAAGCTACACAGTGGCAGTATTATAGCCAATGAGATTTTATCCTAGACAAAATTATTACTAATTGAAAACTTTTCCTAAGGCCCCACTGTGACAACTTGCAATATAGATGGCATTGGAAATTTTTGACAATCTCTAAAGAGACTGAGATTAAAAAAGGATCCCGCACCCCAAGCTAGATTCCCCTTCTACCATGTAAGGGCACGGCTGGACGGTGCCATCGATGAGGCAGGAATGCGCACTCACCAAGGACTGCATCTGATGACCCTGGGAGCTCAGACTTCCCAGCCTTCGGAACTGTGAGGAATAAATTTCTGTTATTTATAAGCTACCCAGCCTATGGTGGTGTGTTATAGCAGCATGAACAAACTAAGACAGTCTATATATTCTTCTACTCAGATGTAGATTCCACAAGGGTAAGACCTTTGACCTGTGTATTGTTGCAGCCCCAGCTCCTGGAAGAGTTTCTAGAATAATAGGCTTGCACTATGTATTTGTAGCAATGGAAATCAGTGTGTATGAATGTGAGATGGATAAAGACGAATTCACCTGGTGGGATTTTTCACCCTGAGATTTGACCAGGAGCTTTCAGTTGGCAGAGAAGGGATTTTTCTGACACATACACGTGATTAAACATAAAACAAATGCACATAAGGTAGGTAATTTCTAAGTAGCATCTCACATTATAAGATGCATCTATCAAACGTGTCTAGAGACTCAAGGTAGCTAATAAGTTTGCTGAGCACAGATGTCTTTTTCCTTCTTAGTCCCATCTCTCATGAGTGTCACTTTTAACTCGGAGGCAGCTTTCCAGTTCTAACCTTGCACAGATTTACCACCTGCTGGCAGACAGCCAGGTACTTGCCCTCTCCTTCCTAGTCCAAGCAGATGGCTGGGAGATAAATAGCCAATAAATCATAACTTCCATGTGTGAGAAGGTCCAGCTACGAAGTGTTTATTTAGTCTAAAAATTGTCCTGTTGCTGCTGGCTAGATACAGCCAGTTAGTTAAAAGTTGTGAGTGATTAGCTGTGTACATGCCTCCTTTCCTTTTTGGACTCTAAGCTGTTGATTGTTAATTCATTTATATATTTATTAGGTTTCTTATAGGAAACAGAACCAAGAGGATGTGTGTATAGAGAGAGGAAGAGATTGATTAAGGAATTGGCTCACACTTTGTGGAGGCTTGGCCAGTCCAAAATCTGACGGGGGAAGCTGGCAAGCTGGAGCCTCAGAAGAGTTGTAGTTCAAGTCCAAAGGCAGTCTTCTGACAGACAAGGAGGAACCCGTGCTGGAGGTGAAGTCTCCAGATATCTGCTGGAGAATTCTTTCCTGCTCTGGGGAGGTCGATCTTTGTTTTGTTCAGGACTTTAACTGATTCTATGAAGCCTACTCAAACTGCAGAGGGCAATTTGCTTCACTTTAACATTCGCCCCATTAAATGTAAATCTCACACCTAAACACCCTCACAGAAATCTCCAGAATAATACTTGAGCAAACAAATACTTGGGCATCAGGGCTAAGGCAACCTAACACGCAATACTGAACTGAACTTCAAGGTTGGCTTGTATGCTTTCTTCCTCATTTGGTTTTGATTGTTTTTTCTTTGTTCTAATCCTGTTGG